CTCTCTCTCTTTCTCTCTCTCTCTCTCTTTCTCTCTGTCGCTCTCTCTCTCTCTGTGTTTCTCTCTCTCTTTCTCTCTCTCTTTCTCTCTCTCTCTCTCTCTCTCATCTTAATTTGGGGAAAATATCAGGCAGAGATCCAAAGGGCCAATTATTTTGAGTGCAATAATTGTAATAACAGCTGTGATAAACACCTCTCCATCGCGCAACTGTCAGTTCCCAGTTTCTGTTGAATAAAATCATTTGAAGCTGCGAAACCTTGAAAATTCCTAGAAAGAGACTGGCAAATCTAGTTGCATCAACTCCAAAAAAGCACCAAGTAGGTCAGACTGGGGAAAATCTTCTCCAAAATCCAGCTCTTCAGAGAGCTTTGAAGTTCTAGGTCTTCTGAATTCTCCCCATCTTGATCTTTGCCCCTCAGCTGTATCTCCCCTAACTTTCCAACATTCTAGATCTTATGAATTCTCTTCTTGATCTTAGCCCATCATCTACATCTCTCCTAACGTTTTGAAAGTTCTAGATCTTATGAATTCTCCCCTTCTTGATCTTAGCCCCTCAGCTATGTCCCTCCTTCCAAAGTTCTAGATCTCTGAATTCTTAATCTTAACCCATCAGCTGTGTCTCTAACCTCCAAAGTTCTAGATCTTCTGAATTCTCCCCTTCTTGATCTTTGTACCTCAGCTATGTCCCTCCTTCCAAAGTTCTAGATCTCTGAATTCTTAATCTTAACCCATCAGCTATGTCTCTAACCTCCAAAGTTCTAGATCTGCTGAATTCTCCCCTTCTTGATCTTTGTCCCTCAGCTATGCCTCTAACTTCCAAAGTTCTAGATCTTCTGAAGTATCCTTCTTAATCTTAGCCACTCAGCTACATCTCTCATAATGTTTCCAAAAGTTCTAGATCTTCTGAAGCGTCCTTCTTAATCTTAGTCACTCAGCTACATCTCTCATGTTTCCAAAGTTCTAGATCTTCTGAAGTGTCCTTCTTAATCTTAGCCACTCAGCTACATTTCTGGTAAAGTTTCCAAAGTTCTAGATCTCCCTGATCTTAGCCTATCAACTATGTCTTTCCTAATTTTTCAAAATATTTGGCAGATGGGACTCAGAGAATGCACTTCACTTAGGGCAAAAAAAAAATTGGGCAGAAGCAGCAGAGCTGGCCTTTTGAGAGTCAGGAGAGAGTGTCCACCATGAGGTCCTTCACAAGAAGGTTTCCTTCACAAGAGTTAGCTGGCAGGTTGTGGAACCTTACAGAGGTCTTTTTCGGGCATTTGTGGGTGGTGTCTCTTCCATGTTCTGGTACTAATACAACAATAGCAGCCGTACCAGAGAGCAGGCATCTCATGGGGTTTCTTGGTCAGAATAGTGGAGCTTTGGAAGGCTAAGGCTGAGCAAGTAATGACGTCTCCGAGTCCATGCAAGAGGGATAGTCTTATCCCACTGGTGCCCTCCATCAAGGACATGCCTTCTAGATCAGTTGACAAGTCCTCCAAACAAGAACCTTTTCCTAGAACCCGACTGGTCATGACAATCTCTACAGAGCAGAAGACCCAAGGAATTTAGGAGGCATCAACTCAGCAGCTTCTCTTCACCGCAACTGGAGGCACTTTCTGCTCTTGGCACATGATGTACATCTCTGGCACGTGGTGTGGCTCTGATGCCCAACCTCCCCATGGCTGTGTATGAAGGTTGCCAACAGAATCATGACAATCATTATGGTTATAATCCTTCTGTTATTCAGGCAGTGCAACGTGGGCTTGATGAGATATTAGAAGGAAACGACTCTCCTCTGTAAACACATCCTTCGCTGGCAGTAGAACATGGCTGGCTGGTTCCAACCATCCCAGGGTTGGAAGGGACCTTGGAGGTCTTCTAGTCCAACCCCCTACTCAAGCAGGAGACCCTTTCAGCATAGGGGACAGATGGCTGTCCAGCGACTGTTGGGGATGGTGGGGAAAGGCCTCATTCAGACTGGGTGGGTACCCAAGTGAGCTTCCACCCTCCATCTTCATCCCGGCGCACGAACGCCTGTCCTTGGCGGAAGGTGTGGGTCTTCACATTGCAATGGGGGCTCAGAGACGTGGTGAAGGCCACGTCCATCTTGGCTGGCAAGGGGCAGTCGGGGAGGCAAGGCAGTGGGCAGGGCGTGGGGAAGGGGCTGGCAATGCTGTCCACTGGGGAGGTCAAGGGGACACTTCCACCCGGTTGACTCTCGCTGACACCCAGGTCGGAGGCCCCAAAGGGAAGACCCCAAAGGGGAGACCCCAAAGGGGGAGGGCCCAGGGTCGAGGCACTGTAGTTAGCTGACTCGTCCACGGTATCCACGTCCTTGAGCCCGAGGGTCTGCAGTACCCAGGAATCCACGGGAGGTGCTGGCTGCTCCTCTTGGCAGGCGGAGAAAGCGCCCGAGAGGTTCCGCCTGGCCTTTGGTGGGTGGCGCCCCTCGGTCTTCCGGTGCCTTTTGCCGATCTTGGAGGTCCCGTCGACGTCCTGGCCATCCTGAAGGAGAAGCAGCTTCTGTTCAGGAGGGAGAGGAAAGAAGGGGAGAAGATGGGTGAGCCGGGCAGGACCAGGAATCATATTCAGATCAAAAATGGATTTATTTATTTATATCCTGCCTTTACTATTTTTACAAATAAGCCAGTGGTGGGTTTCAAAAAATTTTGGAACCTCTTCTGTAGGTGTGGCCTGCTTTCCGGGTCCACTGGTTGAACCTCTTCTAACCAGTTTGATAGTTTTGATGAACCGGTTCTATCGAACCGGTGCGAACCGGTAGGAACCCTCCTCTGAAATAAGCCATCTAGCTTTCATGCCTAAGGTGGGACTAGAACTCTCTGTCTCCTGGTGATTGGCCCAAAGTCACCCAGCTGCCTTTCACATCTAAGGTGGGACTAGAACTCAGATCAGTCATGGAGAACCTCTATCCTTTTGGCTGCTAAGAGTCAACACTAATCTGACTATCAATCAATGCAAAGACCATCATGCAAGGGAAGATGGAAAGAGAGAGACGAGGAGGACACCCAGCAGCAAAGTGGAAGACCTGAAGGACTAGATTGGAGACAGATCAGCCATGGAGAACATCTATCCTTTTGGTCAACACTGATTTGACAGTATTAAGCCATCAATCAATGCAGAGACCAGCTCCCTTGAGAAGTCCACCATGGTGGAAAAGATGGAAGGAAAGAGAAGGAGAAGACAACCAGAAGCAAAGAAGATAGACTCGATTACAGCAGTGATGGGACCACCGTTGGAAGACTTGAAGGACCAGGCTGGAGACAGATCAGCCATGGAGAACCTCTATCCTTTTGGCTGCTAAGAGTCAACACTAATCTGACTATCAATCAATGCAAAGACCATCATGCAAGGGAAGATGGAAAGAGAGAGACGAGGAGGACACCCAGCAGCAAAGTGGAAGACCTGAAGGACTAGATTGGAGACAGATCAGCCATGGAGAACATCTATCCTTTTGGTCAACACTGATTTGACAGTATTAAGCCATCAATCAATGCAGAGACCAGCTCCTTTGAGAAGTCCATCATGGTGGGAAAGGAAGGAAAGAGAAGAAGAGGACAACCAGAAGCAAAGAAGATAGACTCGATTACAGCAGTGATGGGACCACCATTGGAAGACTTGAAGGACCAGGCTGGAGACAGATCAGCCATGGAGAACCTCTATCTTTTGGCTGCTAAGAGTCAACACTGATCTCAAAGCATTAAACCATCAATCAATGCAGAGACCAGCTCCTTTGAGAAGTCCATCATGGTGGGAAAGGAAGGAAAGAGAAGAAGAGGACAACCAGAAGCAAAGAAGATAGACTCGATTACAGCAGTGATAGGACCACCATTGGAAGACTTGAAGGACCAGGCTGGAGACAGATCAGCCATGGAGAACCTCTATCTTTTGGCTGCTAAGAGTCAACACTGATCTCAAAGCATTAAACCATCAATCAATGCAGAGACCAGTTCCCTTGAGAAGTCCACCATGGTGGA